CGAGCGCCTCCCGGTGAAATGAGGGTTTAGCATGCGATAATAGCCCTTCTCCTGCCATGAACCCCCTTTTTTACTCTGCCGCACTCATCCCAGCCGCAACCCTTCATTTTTTCCCTTGCAGTCATTCCATCACCAACCCCCTATTTTACCCTGCCGCACTCATCCCAGCTTCAACCTTTCATTTTTTTTCCTTCTGCTCACCCCACCATCAACCCCCTATTTTACCCTGCCAGACTCATCGCAGCCTCAACCCTTCATTTTTCCTCTTGCCCAAATTCCACCCTCAATCTTCTATTTTACCCTGCCGCGTTCATCCCAGCCTCGACCCTTCATTTTTTTTCTTGCACTCATTCCACCACCAATCCCGTATTTTACCCCAGCGCACTCACCCCAGCCTCATCCCTTCATTTTTTTTCTTGCACTCATTCTACCACCAACCCCCTATTTTACCCTGCCGCACTCACCCCAGCCTCAACCCTTCATTTCTTCCCTTGCCCACATTCCACCCTCAATCTTCTATTTTGCCCTGCCGCACTCATTCCAGCTTCAACCCTTCATTTTTTTTCTTGCACTCATTCTACCACCAACCCCCTATTTTACCCTGCCGCACTCATTCCAGCTTCAACCCTTCATTTTTTTTCTTGCACTCATTCCACCACCAACCCCCTATTTTACCCTGCCTTCATTTTACCAACCCTTCATTTTCTCATAGGCACTCACTCCATCATCAACCCCTTATTTTACCCTGCCACAGTCATCCCAGCTTCAACCCTTCATTTTTTTCCTTCCACTTACTCCACCATCAACCCCCTATTTTACCCTGCCGCACTTTTATTACAATCTGAAACCTAATTACCGACATGGCAGAAGTTATAATCTTTTATTTGATCCCAAAATCGGACCTTTTTATGTACGATTTTCACTGTAATTAGTATTCCCGTAAAACCCAATTATTTTATGAAAATCTAGAAAATTGTGGGGATTGTGGGGGAAAAAATGGCCGGGAAACGTAGATAAGTGGGAGTGAGATAGCTAAGGTAATGAATATCTCACTCCCACTTATCTACGAAGTAGGGCGATTTTTTAGGCCGGAATCCCCAGAATTCCCTAGATTTTAATAAAGCAATTGGGTTTCACGGAATTACAAATTACGGCCAAAAAACAGCATGAAAAATTATGCTTTTCGTCTCGAAAGAAAGGTCATAACCTGCGACATGTCGGCAATTAGGTCTCAGAGGGTAACAATTGTCGGGGGAGTTCAATTACTCATCAATAAATGCACACATTAGACATCACAGATGGCCGTTTCAGAACGGGAGGGAGTGAGACAGTTAGAGAAATTGCTATCTCACTCCCACTCATGCGCAATACCCCATTGGAAGCATCCGGTGTCCCATTTTTCAACGTCCGTCTCTGAAGCTCATTCCGGCGTGTTCGTGAGTTGATGGTGGCGCCATCTGCCAGATTTCGGGGTAGTTAGGATTCCCTGAAATTGACAGGTCTTCACCTCATTTATGGGAATACTAATTACGCGTAATCAAAGTGATTAAAAATTCCGGTATTTGACCCAAACGAAAGGTCAGAGTGTTTAATACGTCGGCAATTATGTCTTGAGTGGATGTTGTGTACCTGAAATTTATAAATCGTGTTTATTCCGTGAGTGTAATTTAGCCGCCATCATGGCACGTGATGTGCTATTTTATTATAATGTGCAGTGGAAAAAAGGCTGTTTTATTTTCGCGTAATTGAACTCCCCCGACGGTTATTCCCCTCTCAGACCTGATTGCCGACATATCGCATATCATGACCTATTTTATCATCCCAAAATTATAATTTTTGATCACTTTATTCGCCCGTAATTAGTATACCCGTAAAACGCAATAATTTCATTGAAATCTAGGGAATTCTGGGGGAAAAAATCCACTAGATTTTGAGAAGGCCGGGCCTTAAAATCAAATACATTGGAATGATATTTGTGAAAAAATGATCGTTAGCAAGTTCTCGAGCTTCATACTAAAAAATGAGTATCCATATATCTGAGAAATGGAACACTATTAAAAAATAAACAGACGTTTTCTAAAATGGGCATTTCATCTCAAGTCAGTATGTTTTGCTCGGTCTATGAATGTCACATTCGTTGAAAACAAAGGTTATGCCAGAGTTGTCTATACTATTTTATGTTGTCATGCAGGAGTCGAGTTGAAGTACGCTGCGTACACGGAGAAAAACTTCCATTGAAAATTAGTAAGAACCTTCCCTAAAAATCAGTGTACTCTATCAATAAGAAATTGAAATGCTGCTGACTCATTTTTTCGGAAGGGTCACATGAGAAACTGGAGGAAACGCATGAAAAAGTAGTGCATGCCTCTCAAAAATTGGGGTGCCACATACGAATTTTTGAGTGAGGCATACCATTTTGTCCAGTGTCTCCCTCGATTTCCTTGTACACCCCATGTTACGTCCCAGCGTTGGTGAAAAGGTACACTAAATTTTGAGAGAATTTTTTCTCAGTGTATCGCATAGCATACGATAAACTGACCTTACTGTACGGTGTGACATAAATATTATCCTAACATTCCTTAACTGCATCTCATGTTGATCGGACGTTTTATATGTATCAAATAGTAGTATTTATGGTCATTGGAAAAGTCATAAACTTAGTTCAAAGCGAGGCATCAAAATTGTACATAGACTTTCATGATACACGTTGTTTCTTACCAGTATCAGAAGATCTTGACGACGTAATCAAAAAAAGTACTTCCTGATGAAGCCGAAGATAGTCTTTCTCGCATCTATCATAATATGTTATATAAGCGCCTTATGTGCAAAAATTTTAGTATTCAAACAATTATATAAATTTAATTGAAAACTAGTCTATTTTTGAATTACAATGAATTTACCCTGGCAATTTTGGGGCCACGTTATATATACGGAGTAGCGTAGATGTAGCGTAGATGTGTGTAGATGTGTGTAGATGTGTTTTTTATTGTAAAAAAGCATGGAATAATGCGGAATAACGATTGTAACATTCATAATTAATAAATAAGGACAAGTTCGAAGTTATAAAATAATTAGTGGATAAGTTAGAAGCAATTAGAGTTGTGTAATAAATGTCACTAAACGCCATGGGAAAGGGATTTGGCCAGATGCAGACGGCGTGAAGTTCGTAGAGAAATTTGTGATGGGATACGATGGAATCGCAGTGCAGCAGAAGGCGGGGGGAACAACGCCGTAGAAATAATTAATAATTAATTGTTAAGGCCCGGATGGAGGGAATTTTTTCTTGATTGGCGATTTTACGTCCTCCTACTTCGCGGTCAAGACCCGAACCTTGATCTCAAGCGATGCCTTGTCGGTAACTACGGCAATCGCTGGAAACCAGGGAAACATTGGACAGTGGGGCTTCCGAGGGCGCCGGAAAATTTTTTCATTCCCTATGCCACTAAGTGACATGAGAGATTTATATCTCAACAGAGCGGAGAGGTGGTGAGGGGTCGCGGGGGGGGGGGGGAGATGTATCCAAATGTGGAATCCACATTTTTCGACCATCACTAAACCACTTTTGAGATGATCGATGTGATAAAAAAAAAGTCTCTACAGGGGTAACTAAATCGACTCACGGGGTGATTCTGAGTCGATCTGTACCTATAAATTTCAATCTTTTTTTTCACCCTCACTAACCCTCCCTCAAAATGACCGATGGGATGAAAAAAAAGTATTTACAGGGGTGGGTAAATCGACTCAGGGGGTGATTCTGAGTCGATCTGTACCTATAAATTTCGACATTTTTTTTTCACCCTCACTAACCCTCCCTCAAAATGACCGATGGGATAAAAAAAATGTCTCCACAGGGGTGGGTACATCGACTCAGGGGGTGTTTCTGAGTCGATCTGTACCAATAATTTTCGACCTTTTTTTTCACCCTCATTAACCCTTCTTCAAAATGACCGATGGAGTAAAAAAAAGTCTTTACAGGGATGGGTAAATCGACTCAGGGGGTGATTCTGAGTCGATCTGTACCTATAAATTTTAACCTATGTTTTCCACCCTCACTAACCCTCTTTCAAGATGGCCGATGGGGTGAAAAAGGGTTCACAGGTGTATGTAGATTGATTCACGGAATGATTAGACGGAGTTGCGGAGTCCAATCAGTGTATTGGAAAATATAAAAATAGAAGGGTGAACTGAGTGCATTGGAAAAAAATTAGGGGTTGAGGGTGGGAGGAGTGTGCCAGGGTGCATAGGAGATTCATGGTGGGATGAATTCATTCAGCAAAAATGATGGTTGAGGGTGGAATGAGTCATGGGGAAAATGAGGGTTGAGGGTGGGATGAGGCTAGCAGGGTAAAATAGAGGGTTGATGGTTAAATGAGTGGAAGGAAAAAAATGACGGGTTGAAGCTGGGATGAGTGTGGCAGGGTGAA